CCCCAAAACCCCAAAACCCCAAAACCCCAAAACCCCTTTTGAGGGAGATATTACCTAATATTCATAAAAATTAGTAAAATGGAAGCATTTTCTCCAGACAAACCACAAGGGAGTCAAGAAGATGATGTAAGATTTTCTAATTAAACTGGGTACCCTCAGTTAGCTTTGTTTGCTATAATGGAGGATAAAATATATCTAGAGTTATGAAATCTCTCCAGTTGATAAGCTAAGACAATCATTTTCAGAAAGTTGCATTTCACATACACAAGAATCAGTAGGATCAATTCTTGAAGAAATGGATGGATTAACAGCAACAGTTTTAGATATTGGATCATATTGTTGTAAAATTGGAATGAATGGACTATCAAAGCCAGAATATATCTTCCCAACTGTAATTGGGACTCCAAAATGAATCGGCAAGCCTTCAACAGATTTCAATCTGAAATATGGCCTTGATGCCTACAAAAATTTGCCTAACATGAATATCTCATTTCCTTTGGAATTCTCGAGTGATATAGACTGGGATGAATTCACTGACATAATTGTAGAGACTCTACCTCTCCTTAATTCAAGTCATTTTTAGTGAAGATTCTTTCAATGTAAAGATTCATATAAAATTTAACAATTTAGGAATATTCAGAAACTGATTACTCTATATATCCATTTATTTTCACTGAGAGGATTAATAACAGTCTCAAAAATAAAGAAGCCCTAATAGAGTTGGCTTTTGAGACTCTTGAACTCCCTAAAATTTCCATACAGAACCAAGCTTTCTGTTCACTTATTTCACAAGGAAAGACTTCAGGCTTAGTTATTGATTGAGGAGAGAATGCCACTTCTGTAGTTCCGATCTTTGATTCTAGAATATTAAGTAAGCTTCTTACTAACTTCTTCTAGAAGATGAATCTAATACAATTTTGGTTGGAGGCAAAAATTTGAATCATTTTCTCATGGAGCTTCTCAGAGAAAAGTATTCATTTCATACTTCTTATGATAGAGAAATGGCAAGATTTATGAAGGAAGAGCTCTGATATATTTCTCCGCACAAATTTGATTATACTAAAATATGGCTAGGAGATAGTCAAAGCTATACAATGCCAGACAAAACAATGCTAAGTATAGGAGTAGAGCAACAGCTTTGTCCTGAAGCATTGTTCAATACTTCTCTGGTTGATCTTGATGATGCCTCACTCCAACATATGGTTTTTGATAGTCTTACAAAAGTTGACAGCTCTATCAGGAAGGAAATTGCGGGCCAATGTTTGCTTGTAGGAGGAACTACTCAGTTTAGGGGATTTGAGCAAAGACTGGTCAATGAAGTCTCTAGCCTTAGTAAAGAACTTGGAAAAATATTAGAATTTGTTGAAGATAGTTCCAAGGAAGCTCAAAGGCATATTAGTTCATGGATAGGAGCATCGATTCTTGCAGATCTTTCCCAAACTCATAGAGATATGATCACTGAAGATGATTATGAGGAACAAGGAGCAAAAAGGATAAGTCGCCAGTTGAATACTTAAAGTGAAAATTCCATAATACTAAATTCAAGCTTGATGAATCTTAATGGGGTTTTGGGGTTTTGGGGTTTTGGGG